AAAGATTTGTCACCGAGTTCTCTCAACATTTAATTTAGGTGATAAACATCCATACCTGAACCCATGAGGCTATTAGTTACACAAATGCACACAAATATTTCAAACTTCCCTTCTATTCTCTCCTCATGTTTGTGATGAGCAAAATTATAACAAAGTAACAAGTATATTTGTATAATATCAGATGTATGTACATATTATATGTAATATATGTAAATCTGCTTTTCCTTTTTTACAGGAAAAAAATCACCTAAGCCATTTCTATTTGGGAGCTGAAATAAATAATTTAGCAAAGTGATTTTTTGTATTTCACAAAGTGCTTCACAAATTATTTCTCCCTCTTTCCTATTCCAAGAAAACCATAAATTTAATTAATAAAAAGAGAGCATGCGCTTTTAAAATATAGCATATCATTATTTCACAAAATGAGGGCATAAGTTTTATGGTTCCTTGAACTTCGTTGTCTAAAGGAAAGTGACTTGATTGCATTGGTTCCACATACAACAAACCAGCACCTCAGAAGACAAAAGTCAAACACTAAAAAAATGATCCTGAGTGATTATTAATATCTACTCACTTTATTTTGACATGGAGTCCTTTATAACAATATACTACTGAAAGGCTCATACTCTACTACAAAGTATTTCACATTAAAAAAAAAATATGCAGATGTTGCTACATAAACAAGACAAAACTGAGAGTGGCGGTAAAGACATACATGAAAAACATTAATATACCTACTTATGGTAGATATAGCACTGTATTGCCTTGCACAGAATTTCTACAATTTTACTTTTTTAATTAGAGATGGATCAGCCAGGCATCCTTTAATGAAAAATAAACTGCTGAAAAGCCTTCTAAAACTAATAAATAACAACTAGGAAAAATAATATCATGAATTCTTTCCCAAGGCATAGTTCATAACAGTAGTTTTGTCCCCCAGTTCATGGGAAAAAGCAGTCCGTACATGGAAAATATCAAAATTAGCCACCATCAAGATGATACAGTGGGGGAGAAAATACTGCAACTGGTGGCCAATTGTGTCTTGCATGGCTCAGTAAAAGTGGGGAGAAGAGACTGGCAAGATAGGCATTGCGGGAAAGAAGATAGCTTTCCTTCTATCACCTGTTGGGCCATGAATCTTGAAAGGAGGATACTGAGTATCCATACAGTCTTTATAGAATTAAAATCAAATGGAATAGGACTGCCTTCCTTTTTGTGCTCTGATGCACATGTGGAAATGAGGAAGTTGAACAGGTAGTCCCATGATCCAGTGGACAACGTAAAGACTGCTTGCATGAAGAATGACTACTGAATTAAAAAAGAAAACAATCCCAACTCTCTCAGCCTGTCCTCACAGGAGAGCTGCTCCAGCCCTCTGATCATCTTCATGGTCCTCTTCTGGACTCACTCCAACAGCCCCATGTCCCCAGAGCTGGACGCAGTACTCCAGGTGGGGTCTCAAAAGAGTGGAGTAAAGTGGCAGAATCCCCTCCCTCAACCTGCTGATCACGCTGGTTTTGATGCAGCCCAGGACACGGTTGGCTTTCTGGACTGCAAGTGCACATGGCCGGCTCATGTTGAGCTTTTCATCAACCAACACCCCCAAGTCCTTCTCCTCAGCACTGCTCTCAATTTATTCCCCACTCAGCCTGTAGTTGTGCTTGGGATTGCCCTGACCCGTGTGCAGGACCTTTCACTTGGCCTTGCTGAACTTCATGAGGTTCACAGAGGCCCATGTCTCAAGCCTATCAAGGTCCCTCCGGATGGATGGGAAATGGTTCATGCCGCTCACATGCTGCTTTTGATAAACTTTGAATAAACAGTCCTAAGATAAGTCTGTTAAACCAAAATATATTACTTCTTTAACCTTGCAACCACTGGGTAGTTCTGGGAACGGAATTAAAATCTGCAGTAGAATTTAAGAATATCATGAGCTCTCAGTTTTTTATCTTTGGAAGATATGTCTGTAAGATTAAGGTATCTCTTCAGTCCACAGAAGGAAAAATAAATTCCTAAAAAGAAGACTAAAAGAGATGCAAAGCTACAAGAAAATGACCTTTAACTAAACAAAAGACCTTGGTAGAAAATTCTCACTTGTGGTCATTAGCTGTTATTGAGTTAGATCCTTTCACAGCTGAAAAATTGGCTTTTGGGTTTTATGATTGCTTAATTACTTTAAAGTTTTAACTATTATACAGAACACTCTAGGGATCTAGAAAAGCTCCATCTGGGAAGAAACTTTGGTTATAAATAAACTGCAGTTCTCAATTTTGATCTGGTCCAATATTTCTGCCATTAGTTAAGCTGCATCAGCACCTTACAGTGTAAGATTGCTCAGTGCCCTTTCTAAGGGCAAAGACTTGTGAAAAACTCAGTTTTGAAAGTTTGCTTCATTTATCCCAAGGAAGGTAAGAGGCATGAAACATGAAAAAGGCTGTGGCATACTACTTTGAGTTCCTGAAGACAGAACAGAGACCTGACAAACTGTTGGGAAACGGACATTCCCTGACAGAACAGGAAGAAAGACCAGTCCTCAATTACAAGACTTCCCCAGGAGGAAAAGCATACAGATATTTTATGGAGAAATGGATCTTTCAGGCTCCAAACAGACTGCTAGTGGCTTAGCAGCAGAACATCAGATTAATAAAATAAGGAGGATAGCAGACCATATCAAGATTACAGAAATCTCATCCAAAGGAGTAAGTAAATATCCCAAAATGAAGATATATGAGGGACCAAGGAATTTGTCTCAGGACAAAGATGTCTGAAAAGCTCAGATACCTCACATTACTATCTGAACTTTCTTTTCTTTGACATTCAGCATTACTAGAAATTTCTGCCCTTCTTGAAGTCACCCAGTTCTAATGGCATTTTAGGCTTTCAATGAAGCACAACAGTCATAAATTCTAACAATATTTAAATTGTTATGCATTTAAAAATTTCAAGGCAATTCATAAGATGTGGTCTACCAAGGATTATTATTATTAATTTTACAGACACAGAATAATTTGTCCAATCCAAAGTCAGACAGCAGGTAGCACAGTTCATTGTAACAAACAACAGTGTGTGAGGAAGGTGGCTTCCCAAATAACAGGTATTTAGGAACTCTATTATATGTCTAAAGCCCCTCAAAAGAGGCTGGTATAGCTTTCCTCAGTTTGACAGTTGCAGCCATACAGGAGAACAAGGCTTTGAAAATACCTTAGACTGATAGAAAATAATATTTAGGATCCTATCAATCAAATTAAAAAAAATAAAATTTTATTCACAAATTAAATAAATACATTTCATCTACTGTTACAAACATTTCACTTTTGATGCATTTTTACCAAAACCAAAGTGATGTCAATGTCTTACACTCAAGTTTCAATCCAGGGAGAGGTCTTTCACCTCATTGCTGTGGAACTTTCATGGTCTGAAAGGAGGAGATACACAGTTTTGCCACATAACTAAAAGCACCATGGCAGGTGCTGGGATGTTCATTTAGAATATGGGAAAGGTAGATTCAAACCTCATTTCCCAAGAAAGTGCCCAGACCATTATGCTGTGCAGGAATCTGAAGGAATTCTTGTTGCAGGTTAGACAAGTAGGGTTTTTTTACCAAGCCTCCCTCCTGTACTATCAATATAAGCCTGCGGTCTCTATAAAAGCTAGTAACATTCCAGAGATCATGAACTTACAGAGTATGTGTGTGACTAGTGTCTGTTTAATGTTTAAGCAGTATTTTGAGTAATTTCAAATAGGGTTTAAGGAAATAAATTGTTCAGATTGGACTAATTAAAGAAGAACTGGGGTAAAAATCCTTTACTCATGAACGTTATTTGGCTGTTGACTGAGCTATGAATGCACAAAGACATGTCCATGTAGCCTTGCTTTGGGGCACAAGGAAAATTATATAGATCATTAAAACTGCATAGGCACCATGTGAGAATGGCAAAGGTGGCTGTAGAAGAAAAATGAGGAAGTGGTGACGTGGCAACTGTCACCTGGAGCTGAAGGTGTGATTAGTCATGCAAAGTATATCATTAACTCTTAAAGCTTATATAAGGCACAATAAAAAGAAAAGCAGGAACCAAAAATCAGGAATACAGAAAAGAACACCCCAAACTGATGGGCCCATGGGAGCTCCTTCCCAAGCTCCCTGCCTTGCTTTAGATTTAGAATTGGGGACATTATTCAGAACGCCAGGATTTGCTTTGGGTTTTCTGGACAATCACTCCAACAGCTAGGATCCCACACATCAAAAGGGAGGTGTCTCTTAAGTTCCCTTTCCTTCACTTCAAAAGGTTCAATAAGAAGTACTCAGAATCAGGTAACAGTGAATTTCAACTGTGGTGTCACATACAAATCATGGATATTCCAGGTAACTATTCTAAGCAGTACTAGCAATACAGGAAGAGGAAAATGCTGCTCGTCCTTCTTAGTTGTGACATTATCCTGAAAAATGTTTGGAACCAAAACATGCTTTGGGATTTAAATAATTTTCATTAGTACATCTATTCAGTTAAAAATGTTTTAGGAAGAAGGGGACTCAGTACCAGTGAGACTATTGCTGTGATAAACCTCAAACTGGGAAAGGGACTGTTTTTCACCTCTTCCACCTGCTGTGATAAAACTATAGTCTAGTTTTGAAAAGCAATTTTAGAACACTCAAATGTTAAGAAACAGATGTTAGGAGAGTATTATAACATAGAATTAAGTGTTTGTTTTTTTTTTTTCTCAAAAAAGAAAATCCATGTACAACAAGGAATGAAATGAAACTGTAGAAGAGATCAGCACACATGCATTTCATCATTTTGCTTACATACACTAGTTCTGAGTCAGGAATACTCACTGAAACATGCTACTCTTGCAAGCACTACCTACTTTGCTCTGCTATTAATCACTCGTGATGCAAGCACTCCCACCCATTTCTGAGAACACTGTAGGCAGTCTGATAACTCACAGGCTTCAAGCTGCCCTTATAAAGTTGTTCCACTTTTGCATACTTCCTCATACTGCTAGTTTGTCTGCGAAGATGAAGCTGCTTCTTTACTTAGTCTTGCTGAAGACAGCTCTCCTTGCTTTAACAAATGTCTTTGCAGTTGTTTTAGAAGATGAAGAGGATGCTAAAGAAAGAAAAGTTACTGAGACTTGTCCTATAAAGCTCAAAACTAATCAGAAATGTGATGGAGGGGAGTGTCCATATCAGATAAATCTGCCTCCGATGACCATTCAGTTACCTAAAGAATTCAGACTGCTGGAGAAGACTCTCAAAGAAGTACAGACCCTTAAAGAAGCAGTAAACAAGCTGAAGAAATGCTGCCAAGATTGCAAGCTGCAGGCAGATGACAACCAAGAAAGAGACAGTAGTAATGAATTTCTGCTGCCTGATGCAGAAACTCCAGCAGAAAACAGCAAAGTCCAAGATAACAGAGTAAAGGAACTGCAAAGCAAAGTTAACAGAATGGCAACCAGCTTAAAAAATGCAAAGAGCCAGATTCAGACACTGCAGGGTCGTTTAGAGAAGATGAGCCTCATAAATATGAACAATGTGGAACATTATGTTGACAGCAAAGTTGCTAATTTGACTTTTGTTGTGAACAGCCTTGATAACAAATGTTCTTCTAAATGTCCAGCAATGCAACCAAAACCTGGTATGTAACCTGTTAATTCTCTACTACCTGTATAAGCTTTCTGTGCATTTTACAACTATTAGGTAAACAATTTTAAATATATTTTAATCAAATAGCTGTGTTATTAACTTCACAAGTTAAGTATTTGCTTTTCCAGTGTTTATTTGTACTCCTGTAAAACATTTCAGCTGCCACTAGAGGGTTACTGAGAGCTGCAGGTGTTCAGTTCCTCCTAGCATTGGACTTTATTAAGGGATTTTAAACGTGAATTTTCAAAGGACTTTTTTCCCCCCCAATTTTATTAGTAAAGATGAAAAATTATTTTACATCGTACTACCCTTGATTAAAGATATTAAACATCAGTGAACTACACACATTTTCTCCTTGGATGAGAAGGGGTAAATTTTCTCTAGGTGTGCCTTAGAAAACTGCATGGTTTTTTTCAACGTGAAACTGCAACTACTCTGAAAACGTCTGCAAGGCATTATTAAACATCAAGTGAATCTAGTAAAATGTTTAGTTTCTAACAGATGGATGATAAAATAATTTTTCTATCATCATAGCAAATATATGAAAGGCTTGGCTAAAAAAGGTTATTAACAGTACTTCTCAAGTGGGTAACATATGTACCATCATTTTAATACTAAACCCTTAGCATGAATCTAATATATAAGCTATATAAACCAGAAAACAGGTGTTATCACTGACAAACACTTTTTTCTTTTACTTTTTTATTGTCCTAATTAAAATCAAGGAATACAACTAATAACCTCTTTCAAATGTTGACTGTGAGGGTTTTTAAAAAGTTTTTATATCACATATAAGAATCTTTGAAAACAGGAAATATTTACTAGTGTATTCTACCACTTAGATATCATACATATGAAGACAGGGCTTTCCAGAGAGAGAGCAGGGAAAGCTCAGGCTGCCTTACAGTTTTTAAGCCTCTGTTGCTTAGCATTCAAGTTGAAAATAAAACTGTTCTTCTGTCTACCCATATTGAAAATTGAAGGATCTGCAGATGGTACAATGTATGTACAGCTGAAATTCTTGAAAGTGTGAAAAGAGCAAATGAATAATAATAATAAAGGTAATGCTTTTACTATATAAAAAATCAGCTTTAATCAGATATAAATCAGTATAAATCCATTACTTTAATTCAGATACAAAACATTCACAAAAAGAATAAGTGAATTTTGGTATATTGTTAATGGACAATGAATCAAATTCCAGTACAGTACTTCATAACAGACTAAATTAATTTTAGATATTTCTCACACTTACTGAAATTTTTGGTACTGTTCATAGCATATGATCATGTAGATAATTCTTATATTCCACGGTAACTGATGCTAAAAGTGTTTGTAGCTGCAATATATGCATTATGAAAACTAGCAAGGATAAACAGCTGCAACTTTTTCCTATACAGGAGCTATTCTGCATCCACTGAAAGTAATAGTAAAACTACTGAAAGTAATTAAAACTTTATTGAAATAGGAGTTGAATTGGATTATAAAAGCATTTTATCTGAAATATATATTCTCTACCAATATCTGTTCTGAAACTTCGTCCACCAAAGATCTCACACAAAGTCTAGTGAAACAAATGAGAATCTATTGTGGATTTAGATTTGGGTTTTAATCCTTTGATTCCTATGCTTCTTGCTTTCATAGATGTCCAGTTTTCTGTACTGGCAAGCAAGGAGTCCTGAGCCTTACTTTCTGCCGCAGCCTCAGAAAACTCCTCCCTTTCAAGAAGTAGCTTAATTGTTTAACTTTTCTAAGAAAAATATGCAATTCCAGCCTGCAAATGAACATGCCCAAAAATTAAAATCTGCAATAGGAATGAACATTATGATTTTGACTCTTAAGTCAGAAATTCTGAGAACTCTCTGTATCACTTACATAAGAACATGGGATTATAATACCATGCTGTTGAACACAATGTCATTTCTGGATGACATTGAGGATCAAAAACGGATTTTCAATCTGCAGGAGAAACCTCGGGTATTCTTCTTCTGAATAAAATACATCACCCATCAGTGGGGAAAAGCTGGGTTAATGGTAGATGATAAAAGTTTTCCATACTGTAAAGCCAGCAATGCCACATACACAGGAAAGCACTGTCACTTTTCTAGCTTCATCTTTCTAGGAATCACAGTATTAATACAATAGATGAGACAATCGTATTACTTCTTTTCCTGCTTCCTAAAGTACAGTCAACATTAACATATAAAACATTCCTAAGGATGTTATGTTCTGTATCAAATGATGTCAACTGAACAATAGCCAGGTTAAAGTCATTCCATATGGACAAAGCTTTTTTTTCTGACATACTGCCAGATGAAGATTTAAATTATAGACAGGGCATGATGGTATACATTTAAATACAAAAAGCAGCAAGTGTGTAACCACAAAGCATTAGAAACATGGACTGAAGAAATCAGGCTGAATTTACAGGAGGTAATGAAAGGATAAAGAGAAGAGTAGAGAAAAGGAGACAAGGGAAAGCAGACAATCAAAATGCCTCCGTATTAGGCAGGTTTGATACAAAAAGTCATTTAAATGCGTTTTTTTTGACAGCTATCTGATGCAGACATCCTAGGTGGCATCTATTATAGAGTAAACCTGATAGAAAAAAACTGTTTTGCTCTAGCAACTGAAATTGCTGTAACACTATGTCCTATGTAGAAATCTCTCCAATTCAAGTTCTGTGGTAAAACTTTTGTTTGTTTCTAAATTGAAATTATGTTTATTCTAACACTATCTGTTCTTCCACCAGTTATACAGATAATGCAGAGAGACTGTGCTGACCATTACACAGCTGGCAGAAGGATTAATGGAATCTACAGGATTAGCCCTGACCCCAGAAACGACAGCTTTGAAGTTTACTGTGACATGCAAACACACGGAGGCGGCTGGACAGTGCTGCAACGGCGTCAGGATGGTAGCACTAACTTCAACAGAACCTGGAACGACTACAAAAATGGCTTTGGAAACCTCAGCAGGGAGTTTTGGCTGGGGAATGACAAAATTCACCTCCTGACAAAGAGCCAGGAAATGCAACTGAGAATTGAACTCGAAGATTTCAATGGTATCAGAGAGTACGCAAAATACGAACACTTCTACGTGGCCAATGAATATCTAAAGTACCGTCTAAGTGTTCATGGCTATAGCGGCACAGCAGGAGATGCTCTTCACTACAGCAAGCATTACAACCATGATCAAAAGTTCTTTACAACTCCGGACAAGGACAACGATAGGTATCCCTCAGGAAACTGTGGAGCATACTACAGCTCTGGCTGGTGGTTTGATGCATGCTTGTCTGCCAACCTCAATGGCAAGTACTACCACAAGAAATACAAAGGTGTTCGCAATGGCATTTTCTGGGGTACATGGCATGGTATTTCTGATGATATTCCCAATGGATATAGGCAAGCCTTTAAATCAGCAAAAATCATGATCAGACCCAAAAGTTTTGTGCAGTAATTCCACGCCTTTCTCTTAACTAGTTTGCATTGGATTGCACTCAAAATCATACTCAGTGTTATACTCAGCATTCAAGTATTCAGTTATATTTGGCATAAAATAGTTCTAGACAAAACAACATACTTGCACATACATTTTTAGAAATAGTTTGACCCATATAATGTATTAAAAACAGCATGAATGTTTCTGAATAGTTATTGCTAAAACTTAGCACAGGTTAAGTCTTGGGATCATTATGTAAATATTCTAAACATTGCTTTTGGTGCTTTTACTGACTGTGATATACCAGATTTTATGATTTAAAACTTTTAAATGGTCTTCCACAAATTGTGTCTGAATGAACACCTACATTTTAACCTGAGGTATAACTGATAACATATAAATTTGTCAACACTTAGAATGAAAATTAGTCTCTCCGAAACAGCCATACTTTTTCCATCATCTGTCCTTCACAACTTCAAAGGTATACCATGGCAATATCAATACAAATTAAGAGAAGTACTACAAATTATTATTTTTAAAGGACTAGAAAACAAAGGGCCACATGGTTTGCCCAAAGACACACAAAAAAAACCCTTGAAGAAAACGAAGGTGATTCCTCAAATCTTATTGCCTTTATCAAAGATTATTCAAAGTTGGTCGAAGAATTGAATAAAAGCAGTGGAAATAATGTAGAGAGCACGTAACGAAAGACAATATTCTTGCTCATTTTGGTTCCTCTGTTCAAGCTCAAGGTCCTATTTGTTGTTTGTGGGAGAAAGGAGCCATTATGTAGCTTATTATACATTTGTACAGGCAGGTAGACAGGTAGGAGGAAGACACATCAAGAAGAATCCATGTCTTTGCATTAATGCCTCTAAATACATAAAAAAATAGTATCCAGCACCATTTTGCTGTCTGCTGAGTCTTTTAGGTAAGCCAAATGTTACAAGATGACTCTCGTAGAGACTCAAGCTCTCATTTAAGTACTTCTCACTCTAGGTACCAGTAGACCTTAAAATGATAAGAAAGATTATAAATATTTTGTAAGGTACAAAAAGATTGTGTTCTCTCCATTTTCTGAGTACCCCTTTTGTAGCCACAGAAACATGAACAACCCACTGGCAATTATAAACAGAACAGACAGTATGTTAAAGACTTCTTTCTTCTAAAAATAACAAATGAAACAATCAAATTTTTTAATATTTCAGGAAGTGCAAATTAAAGATACTATTATTAAAACTCATGTTGTAGATAGTGAGCATGAATTTGACTACACCTATCTATTGCCAGCTCTGGAAAGGACATGTCTCTATAATTACAGTGACTAACATTCTGAGTGATGTGATTTCTCTCAGCAAGAGGCTGTTTCGCTGTATCGCTTATGCCAATCTTGAGATGCAGATAAACTATACTAAGACTGTACTTCTTTACAGTTAAAGCGTAATCTTTGCTGGTATAGCCTTTTTGGTTAAAAGAGACATACCAAAAAAAAAAAAATTACAAAAAAATATAAGTATACATCTGACCTAATACTTTACTGTTTTTTAAGAATATAACAAGAACTATCATGGTTACAAGTTATGCAAATGAGCAATAGTGGCAATTGCTAAATCATAAAATATTAATATATATATATAAAGGAAGTAAATACTTTGAAGGATCTCAGTGTGAAGTGTAATTTGCTTTATTATATTTCAATTTTCAAGAGTAATGGAAAATTTTAATTGCAAGATGTATAATCTTTGCTTGAGAACATGTTTTGAAGTTATAGAATATTTATTTTGGGATAAAAAAGAATTGTCTAAACAAAAAAAAAAGCAACTTGTGAAGTATTGGTTAGAAGAGCAAATATCTAATTGCATATGATTGTATTTAATCATTTTGCATGAAATGCACAATTTTCTCCTATTCATTATATGGTAACTATCTAAGTATGACTTACAGTATCTACAAGCTTCTACTTGAAAACGTCTTTTTCCTGCTAAGTTGTTAGAAGAGAAACTGTACTTTTTTTACCCTGTTTAAAGGAAACTTCATAAAACACAGAAATTTTAGCAGAATAACCAAATGTGACTAATATCACCCACAAAAGCCTTGTCTGTCTTTAAAAAAAAAAAAAAAAAGGAAGTGTAATGCTGTTACACAAATCTGACTATTACCTGCCTGGAACTGTTGTAACTGAATCTCCACCAACGTGTACTAGTTTTACAAAACGTAACTCCATCTACTTGTTGCAAGCATTATTTTTGTTTTTCCTTGGTGTAATAAAACTAAGTCACACTGTTAAAGCCGTACTACTGTCATAGGTATTTATGGGGACTATTAAAAAAAAAATCTTAATTGTTTTATTGATTTCCTGTAAAAATTGAAGGAATAAGAAAACACAGATAACTTCAGATGACCAACAAAGATGACTGACTATGTGACGTGCTAGGAGAGTAATTGCTAGTAACGATAATTCTTAAGAGATCCATTTTATGACATTTCAGTTGCCAGATAATACCAAAGGCTGATATCTCAGACATCTTTTTGAAACTATTCATATTTTGGAAGAGAAAAAAGTAATTGCCCAATCAAGAGTTTACACAACCTGTGTCTTTAACATGAAAGAGAAGCAAACTCATCTGTTTTTTGTATTACACACAACCTTTCAGATCACATGCAAGTTTCATCAAAGCATGTGAACAGAATCATAGAATCATTTAGGTTGGAAAAGACCTTTAAGATCTCAGAGTCCAACTGTTAACCTAGCACTGCCAACTCCACCCCTAAACGATGTCCCTAAGTGCCACATCTACACATTTTTTTAAATACCTCCAGGGATGGTGACTCAACCACTTCCTTGGGCAGCCTGTTCCAATGCTCAATAACCCTTTTGGTGAAGAATTTTTTTCCTAATATCCAATCACAATAGCATATAATATATAGAATAGAAATAATACTCCACATTAAAGCAGACAATTTTTTATACAAGCAAAAGCACTTGGTCTCTGCTTAAGGCTTAATAATTCAAAACATGTCTTTGAATTTATAGAAAACATCTATATAACACTGATTATCGTATGAAAACACTTGTCGTTTTGATCCTGCTAATATTTAAATTCTGAATTTTAGTAAAGAAGATTACTAACAGTGGGTTTGCTAGCAAAATTCCTATGGGTTGTTTCCAAAAAAATAAAGGCACAAACCCATCTGTTCAATGTTATCAGCCAAGCAGACTGTAATGTCTTGGCTTTCTAAGCATTGCTTAAAAAAACCCTCACAACCAAATATCCAAAAAAAAAAAAAAAAAGCAGCAAAAAAATGAAAAGAAGGTTTGAAAGTAGTGATTTTTAAATTTTTTTTCTTCCCTTTTTTTATGCAAATATCTATTTCCTTAATGGTGTTTTTTGGGAAACACTGCAGTCAAACTCAGAGTGAGTTGGAAACCACAGGTAATTTGACAATTTGGTAGAAAATAAACTTGCATTTATGTGCTTATTTTCAAACGAACTTTGGATGGTTCTCAATCCATACCTAGAATACCATATTTATAACTTAAACCAAAATCAAACAGAAGAAAAAAGCGCCAAATTTACTTAGCCTCTATGGCTTACATGTCATAGAAAAATCAAAACAGGAAGGATGTGACTTTAAGTTTTCATAGAGAAAAATGATGAGATAAGATGATGAGATAAGAACTAAATACTGTCCAACCAAGAAAAAGATTTAAAACACATTTTTATAAATGTGTTCTGTGTTCTTTTTTTTTTTCAGGAGATAAGAGAAAAATAATATAGTATATATGGGGCTGAAGACATTGACCTAAGTTTCAAAGAAAAATGGCTGAGCAATCCACAGGCCATGCTAAATGCAAACATTCCACTAATTAAACTGATTTCTTTCATTCACGGCTTTAATTAAATTTTTATGGAGCTATAATACTTCTGCCAAAAGTGAATTTGGCTATCACCCTCAATGGTAACCAGAAACAGAAAACAATGTTTTAAGATGATGTGTCAAATCCAACCCTCACACAAGTCATGAGAACAGTGAATTTTTTAAGTCCTTGTTCAATAAAATAGTATTTTTTAAGTCCTTGTTAATAAAATTTTTCTGATCTCACTAAAAGACGACTCTGGAAAATAACAATTGGAAAAAACATCCCAAATTACCTGATTATGTTCATATATGCAAGACAAAATGTAAGTCTAATTTATATTACATTCTACTGAAAGAGTACGCCGAAAGTTAGAATTACACAATAGAAAAGAATAAGTATGTTTTACACACTTATTTTTAAGCAATTACGCGGAGTCGATGATTTTTATGGAGAAGTAGGATTCACTCTGAGAAACAGGAATTCTCATTTCTTTCTTCGGACAGAGTACAAAAGCCCCTCTGCTTACATCTGCAGGTCAACCTCTGCATGTTAAACCCAAAGATAAGGATTCTTTCTCATGCAAATCGTTAAGCCTCTGTTCATTAAGCCTGTCTGTATTTGGACACAGCTGGTTTTGAATAAGCTAGAAATCACCTTTTTAACATGAGAAGTAACCTAATCTATGTAACAGAAGATTCTCACCACTGGACATTTTTAATGACTGTATGTTTGGTTAACATTGCTCTGGCTTCCTCTCCACGCGGTTGTGCTGACATAAACATCATAAGCCAAGGCCAAGTAGACTCACAATTTTAGTACAAGTTTGCCCTGTTTTGGAATATAAGGTCTCAAATACATATTTTGAGTGAGAAAAGGGGAAGAGGGAAATAGCTTTGGAACATAAGACAGCAATATGCTTGTCTCGTTAAGTCTCACAAGTCTCAGAAATTGCTGAGAAAAGGCCAAAATGCAAGATGCTGGATTTAAAGGTTATTCCTTCTCCTAGTCTCACAGCTTTAGGGAACTGTGGTTCCTCTATGTGGCATGAAATCTGTACTTGACTTTGTAACAGCATAGAAGAAACAACACATCATAAGTGCTTTCAAATGTGCTTTTCAGAAATGAACAGAAATACCACTCCTTTGTGATAATCTGAAGACGTGCAACAGGTTCCTGGCCTTGTTTCCTCACAATGCCACCTGCTAATGGTAAAAAGAATCTCTCAATAGAAAGAACATATTACGCTGGCTCTGTTCCCA